TTTAGCATGGTGAAAGTGAATATAATCGTGCAAAACGCTTAGGCGGCGATTCACCGTTGAGTGATAACGGTATAAAGTATGCGAAAGCACTACTGGATTTTTTCAAGAACGAACACGTCGACGATCTGAGAATTTGGAGTTCACAAAAGGTTTTTGCTTGTTCATTTGCCGATGGATTATTAAATATCCAGAAAGGAGATCTTTTTAAGCGAGACGTGAGATGTGAAGAAACAACTTAAAATGATATATTTGCAGGTTAGGGCAGCGCAAACTGCGAAAGAACTGGCACCATTGGCTGCACATATTGAATACTGGAAAGCGTTAGATGAAATTGATGCGGGTGTTTGTGAGGGTCTAACTTATGAAGATATTGAGCAAAGGTGATTTTCTACTAGTCTGACGATGAGTAGTGACATTTCATCACTCAAACACTTACGTCTACATAATGTTTCTGAGTGAAAAAATACCACTACTCATAACATTTCTAACTCGTCAATTTTCTTCACCTACACGGATACATCTCAATATCTATAGTTCAATAACTGTGTGAGAATAACTCACACTTAGAGTCCAACTGTTTTTAGTACAAACAAAAAGTGACAATGTTCAGTGCAACTAGAAAATGTTTGAAACTTCTTCAATGTTTTTAGGTATCCAAGTCAGGCTCAAGATCGTGTTCGTGATAAGTATCATTTTCGATTTCCATCCGGTGAAAGTTATGAGGATGTTGTGGCAAGACTTGAACCGGTCATAATGGAGTTAGAAAGACAAACCAATGTTTTGCTTGTATCACATCAAGCGGTATGAATTCGCTTAATTTCTTATCTTATCCTACCATNGATCGTGTTCGTGATAAGTATCATTTTCGATTTCCATCGGGTGAAAGTTATGAGGATGTCGTGGCAAGACTTGAACCGGTCATAATGGAGTTGGAAAGACAAACCAATGTTTTGCTTGTATCACATCAAGCGGTATGAATTCGCTTAATTTCTTATCTTATCCTACCTACCATATGGTACGTGTATCTCTCCAACGAAATTAGAGCACGTTGAATTTCGATGGAATATTTTGCGTGACAAATTTTACAAAAACGCTCTTAAAATGGAGGTGAGTGAATAAACGAGAAACGGATTCAGTCAAGATCGACGAATGAGCACTCAGTGGTTTTACATCATAAGACTGAGTCAGTATCTGATCCGAATGCAGAGTTTTATCACCTTTTGATAGCTGATCAACTAAACCTATCGTTTGCCGTCATTTAAGCGCTTAGAGACTGGTTCAAACAAATTACTCGGTCATATAAATTCCTCTGATTGCGAAACTATGAATATGACAAAAACATGATACTTTAGGTGCTGCGCTGTATTTTGGCCTATTTCGATGAACGTCCACTGGATTTGCTACCGTTTTTGAATATGCCTCTTCATACTCTCATCAAACTAACCCCAATTGCATACGGTTGTGAAACAACTTATTATCAGTTTGTTACGGATGAAAGTGATGAGAACCAAGGAAGGGTGAGTGCTTTCCAAAATCTTTCTACACATTAAAGTCTATAGCATACTTCAAACGAATGTGTGCCAGCAAAATACAAGAAAAGCTAACGTATCACTAGAATATTGCACATTTTCGCTAACATTACTTATCACACAATCTGATGGAGACAAGAAACATTTTTTAAAATCATCCAGCAAAACGCTTGCTTCATTCAATACAAGCAAAAACAATTGTCGAATGTTTAGCCTGCGAAACAGAGAAATTCTTTAAGAAAAACTCATGAGTTTCTTATGTAATACGAAATCAAATGTGATGAGTGTTCCAGTTGTTTACTCGCAATTCAACAATAAAATTCACTCTGATTTCATTTAACAAATCTCGTTCTCTCATTCCAAATGCCCTCGCTGTTTGCCTCCTTTCAAAATCAGCTAACA